TGCACCTACACCAGTTCCCAAAGCATTTGTTTCAATGGTAAATTGTTCTTGGAAGTCAAGTAAATCTAAGACAGGTGCAGAAAACATGGCTTGTTTCAAAGCTTCAAAAGCTTGCTAAGCTTCCACATTCCAAAGCTATTCTTCCTTAATAAATTTGTAAGAGGTTTGACTATAACACCATAATGCCTAACAAATTGTCTATATTGCCTTGTCAAGCCTAAGAACCCCTTTAATTCCTTCACAGATTTAGGAACTAGCCAAGCTTGCATTGCATTAATCTTTGCTGAATCAGTAGAAACACCCTTAATAGAAATGATATGCCCTAAATACTCGATTTCTTGTACTCCAAATGCACATTTACTTTGCCTTGCATAGAAAATGTTGTCCCTCAAAATTTGGAGTACTAACAGCAAGTGTTGCAGATGCTGATCCCAAGTCCTACTATAAACCAAAATATCATCAACAAAAGATAAGCACAAACTTCCTTAAAAATTGCTGGAAAGCATCATTCATTATAGATGGAAGGTGGATGGAGCGTTTGTAAGACCAAAGTGCTCACCAAAAACTCATAATGGCCTTGGTGAGTCCTAAAAGCAGTCTTATGAATATCTGACTCCTTCATTATGATCTGGTGATAATTAGACCCTTAATCTATCTTGGAAAAGATTTGAGCCCTATGTAATTAATCTAACAATTCCTTGATAACGAGCATTGGAAACTTATCCTTCACAATAGCCTTATTTAGCTCCCTATAATCAACATACATTCTCCAAGTCCCATCTTTTTTTTTTTGACCAACACAACCAAAAAAGAAAATGGACTGGTGCTACCCCTAATAAAACTAGACTCTAACATCTCTTTTACCAACTTCTCCATCACGTCTTTTTGCATTGTAGGGTACCTAATACATCGCTAGACTCCTCCAACAACTTTTGAAGCTCAATAGGAATCCCACTAGATTCCAGATTGTTTAGCTCTACTTTGGCAGCAGTTGGAATTACCATTTGGACAAAAAAAAAAAAATTTGCTTTTGTCTAAACAATCTTCCTTTCACAATGTGTAAATCATCTGGTCAAATTCAATCCATTTCAGCTGGGGATTAGGGGCTGCATTTAGTTGTACCATTTGCCCTTGATACATAAACTACAAAGTCTTCTTGCTAGAATCTCAAAAAACCTTTCCCAATGGTTTTAGCCACTAGATTCCCGAGATAAGATCATATTCACTTAGAGGCAATAATAGGACTTCAATACTAAAAACTAGATTTGCACATTTCATTCAAAGCTCTTGCACCGTTCAGCTCTCTTAATCTAGTTACCATTAGCCATATTAACCTAATAAGGCTTCACCTCTTCAGTTATACAACCTAGCTTCTTGTCCAGTCTAACATCAAGGAAGTTATAAGTACTCCTTGAATCAATTAAAATCAAAATTGGCCTCTTTTTAACAAAGCCTATCACCTTCAATGTATTGTATGCCTGTTCACCAATTAAAGAATGAATGAAAATCCTTGGCTCAACAGTTGATAACTGGTTCAAACTTTGAGTTTCCTCCATTTCATCATTCATAACATCAATTTCTTCATCTATGGCTTGAATTTCCAGATTGTACAACCCCTTCTTGGCACATTTGTGTCCAGATGTATACTTCTCATCACACCAAAAGCACAATCCCTTCCTCTTCTTATTCTTCATCTCAACTTCAGTAAGGGTGCAGGTATTTTTTTTTCTTATTTTGGGTTTTGGCCATTGAGGAGATCAAGGGACTGTTTTAAGGGGTAAACGGTGGAGGTGTTGGGGAATTATGGTATGAGTTTGGGTTAATGTATTGGGGTAGTTTTTGGATATTGGAAGGTAATGGTAGAAGGGGGGGTAAATTTCTGGAGTTAAGGCTTAAGTTGTTGGTTTTTCTACTGATGGAGTTTATGGACAACTCTTGTCGCTTAGCAATAGAATAAGCTTCCACCACTAGTTTGGGATTGTGACATGCCACAGAGCGTTGCAACTCTTCCTTCAACCCTCCAACCAACATGGCCACTACTTGTTTCTCACTACATTTAACCCTGGACCTGATTCTTTCAAAATCTCTCTGGTAATCATTCACACTACCAATTTGATTAAGATTTTTCCACAAAATAATTGGGTCCTACATCTCACACTCCCAAAATATAACTCATGTCAAAAATATAATCTCGCCAATCCGGAAATGCATCTTGTCTTGCATATAGCATTCATGCCAAATAATAGCATCAACATACAAGTACATTGAAGCTATTTCTACCTTATTCTCATCAAGAATATTACGAGCCTTGAAGAATCTATTGCATTTATACAACCATCCCCTAAATTCTCAATACCATCATAACTAGGAAAATCCACCTTACCAAACTTTGTCAAACTAGCTATAGGATCAATAGTATTTTGGTTTTCAGGGAATCTTACCGTGAAACAGGTATGATGAGTGCAAATTGGTTGTTGCGTCTGTTCTTGGGAGGTTTGGGCGACCACCAATGAGGAAAGCTTCCCGGTGTTGATGATCTGCACCAACTTTGTAAGTTCCTCCCTCAAAGCATACATATTCTCAACTGATGCCTTCAAGGTGTTCTCCATAAACGTCATCCTAAGGTTGATATTTGCTATGTCTGCGTTGTTTTTCTATTGAAATTCAGCAAACTCTCACCTCAACTTTTGAGTAGCCATCATCGTAAGTCCAAGCAAGCACAGCTCTGATACCAATTGATAGCACCAGAACCAAGAGAATCAAGAATCAAGAAGGAAGGAGAAAATAGAGCTAGGGAAGAAGAACCAGAGAAGGAGGGAGAACCAGAGAGGAAAAGAAAGGGTCTACTTCTTTTATTCATCAATCAACAAAAGAATTATAGAGCAGTCCCCTTATGTATTTGAGGCTGATTACAAGAGGTAGTTGGGTTAACCAACTAATCAACTATCTAACCCTGCTTCTAACTAACTACAAGCTATTCTAACTAATCCGCAAGTTTCTCACTAACCACTTGCCCAGTCAGCATAACCTTCCAACTGCAAATCCACTTCAGCTCCAGCTCAGCAGTGTTGGCCTACCATTTGAGCCTGTATCACACCATGTGAAGGAGTTATCATTACCCGCAAGCCACGCCACTTGTTCATCCCCTTCAGCTTACGGATTGGAAGCAACTTGCAGATTGGAAGGAATCTAGGGTCCTAGGTGGGCGGCAAGGCTAGGATCAGGAATTGCTGGGATTGAAAGAAGGCAATCGGATGGCTGGGGTTTTGTTTTCTCCCTCCGATTTTCTGTATAAATAGTGGGGTTATTTCGGGTTAAGTCGGGCGAGCAGAGCGAAAATAAATAAACGAGAGAAGAAAAAAAAAGGTGAAGAAAGACAGAGAGAGTAAAAAAAAAAAAATCGAAGAGTACTGAGATCTTCGGGTTTAAGGAAGCAAAGGCAAAAAGAAAAGGAAGTTCGAGGTTTTTTTTCTGAACTCGGAGGTACTGCTGAACTTCAGTATTTTGTTCTTGATGCATTTGGTGTATATCAACGCTTGAATATTGAAAGAGAATCTGATCTTGCTCCTAGATTTATGCACATTTATTCTGAATTTTTTGTCTGATGATTGTTATGGTTGAAATTTTCGAGAATTGAGGCTTGAAATCGTTGAAATCATTGTAGAAAGAATAATGATAAATGGGTCAAAAGTTTGAGGGTCAAAATGGGTGAATAGTATAAATTACATCTTTAAAATATTAAAACGTAATTTTTATATTATTTAATTTTTTTAATTTGTAAAAACTTATGATATTATATGTATTAATTAATTTAATATGATTTATATGTTATTATTGATATTAAATTTTTACTCATTGAATGCTTTTGGTTCTCTCTGCGTGGACTTATTGTCATCCAATCAATGCCAATCCATTTGCTTCCATGGAAAATGATTCCGGAATCCAAACAAACTTTCAATAGTCAATCTCTTGTTCATGATTATTTAAAAACTGTACAGTCACAGCTTTAGAAATACAAAAATATAGCATAATAAAAAAATAAACACCTAAAAATTCAAGCCAAATTATAGGGAAAACAAATACAAGAACCCCCGCTCTATTAGTGAAATTCATCTCCTCATAAAACTGAATTGATAGGAGTGACAGCCAGAGGAAAACTCTTCCTTCCCCCACCGAGCCACCTGTTTGGAGTTAATCATTCGGGAGACGGAGCCCCAATTCGAAGATGAGGCCGAACTTGGTTGCGGCCTAGAAAAGGGGCCAAAGATGGAAGGAGTGGAAGCGACTAAAGCCGCCAAGAGGCAGGACCACATAGACTTAAGCTACTGGTTGCTGCACTCGATATTAGCCCGGTGCCTAGTTACAAATCAGCTCCTAGAGCCGCTTGTCTTGTGTCGTCTTGTGCCACAACTTGCTCATGTAGGTAGCTATGGCCAGCCTCCGCCATCCATATGCTTCAACACCTCATATAACAGATTCTCGTCTAAATTCACAAACCCCGTTTCTTTATTGCCATCTTCTCCCTCTTCAACCTTGATTTTCTTCATTCTCTTCTCTATTCCTATTGTTCACCGCAATTTATTCTCTTCTTTCCCGCTTTTCAGTCGAAATTGTGTGCAATTAGGGTTTTTTAATTTGGTCCACATGACTTTGATTCTTCTGCCTTTTTTTCTTTTTTCCCAAAGTAAGCAAGAAAAGTTTTGCCTTTTGTGGGCGCTCCACTTACATGGTCACTACATGGTGCCATGTAGGCTAAATTTTTTCTATGTCACTAAAAATCATTCATGTGAGAGAAAGTTCATCGGAGTCGTGCCGCGCGTGCAAGGAACAGACGGAGTTTAACTGACATGTGACTTGCACATGACTTGCGTTTTTATAGATTTCAAATTAATTAGGTTAACACCCATTTTGGTCCCTCTATTTTAGTGAAAAACCTTTTTTTAGTTCTTTTACTTTAAAAAATCCCTTTTTGATCTTTAAAGTTTGAAATATGACCCCATTTTTAGTCCCTCTATTAAGTTTCTATCTTGTAACACGTTTTCTTAATGGAAATCCCAAAATAGAAGGGACTAAAAAGGGAATTTTTTTTAAAGTAGATAAATAAAAAATGGGTTTTTTTATCAAAGTAGAGGGACGAAAAGGGGTTTTTTTCTGAAGTAGAGGGACCAATACTTTGAAATTTTGTCATCTAATATGTCATATATGCAAAACTTAACAAAGGGACTAAAAGGAGGTCAGATTTCAAACTTTTAGGGACCAAAAATTGACTTTTTTAAGTACATGGACTAAAAAGGGGTTTTTTCTTTTTTACCAAAGTAAAGAAATCAAAATGGGGATTTAACCAATTAATTATGAAGGGTATTTGATTGAGAGTAAAATTTTAGAGAGTGTTAACTATAGAAAATAATAATATTTAGGATCTAAATAATGTTTGGCCTTTTACATAAATATTTTGCTTATAATGTCATGAGTTATTAAAAAATTATTTTCTTTATTTGAGAAGCCATGTAAACTTACTCCAATGATCCAACCTACTAGTGATATTATCTATTTATCCATTGAATCTCCTAGTTTAAAATACATCAATAGAGGTTAAAGGCTATTGAATTATATATTTAATATCTCTCTTTGTTGATATGAGATTTTCCTAAGAGTGCCACACTTATAATATCCAATATGGCATTATAAGTGTATTGGTTACATTATTTTTAGGAGACAATATAGACCAACGTAGTTATAAATATCATATAATTTTGAAATTAATATAAATGATTTATATGAATAAAATATTAAATTTGATGGTTGGTTTATCAATCAAAATACAAACTCTTTGAAGAATTATTAAGTGATATGAGTCATGGTGTACCTTATATTGATAAAAGGTAATTGTAACTCATATATAATATTATATATAGAGAGCTAGAATAGTATATATCAGTTTAATTTTCATGAAGTCTCAATCTTAAAATTAATTCTTTATTTATCAAATCTTGATTAATAACATGAAAAGCAAAATCCTTTACCAACTACCTATAATTTTTGAGGTTGAATAAAGTGAATTTATAAAATAATATTACTATGACTTTTAGAAGTCTCACTTAAATTTCAACATTATAGTAAAAAATATATAGAGTATCAACATATATATAAAATTAGTGCGTATTAATTTTGATTCTAAAAAAAAAAACTAAAATATCAACTTATATTTAAAAACTAAATTCTCAATTTAAAATTCAAAAATTTAATTAGTTTTTAAATTTAAATATCAATAATTAATAAGATGGATCTTTAAATTTTAAATTAAATTTTAATTAAATAAAACAACGTAATTTAAAGTTAAGACTTCAATTTTTTTTAAAAAAAATTAAGACTGATATATATTTTTCATATATATAAGTAGAGTAAATTAATATAAGTGAGAATAAGCTCGCAATTGAGGGGACTCTTTAGGAGACTCCCCATTGCAGATGCTATAGTTGGCAAAGGAGCAACCACGTGTAAAATGCGTTTGGAGCCATTTGGAATGAAAATAAATTAGATCAATGGATCTAATGTAAACTTGATTTGTGGAAAAGGTGGATTTGTGTTTCTTATTCCACCAAAAAAAAAAATTAGAGTTCCTTTTAACTTCAAAAACATTATATTTAATTAATATTTAAAAAATTAACTTTTAAATAAAGTATTCTATTTATATAGATTATATATCTTAAATAATAGTTTCCAATATGAACAAAAATAAATAAAGAAAATTTATAAAATAATTGAGAAAAAATTCCTTTTGAGTAGTTCTCAAGTTCCATGTCTTTGGAGAAAAAAAGGTAGTCCTCAAGTTCTTTCACATGCTTCAATAGAGTCAACACCACTTAAATTTAGCTTCAAAATGTATTGTTGGAGTTTCAACTTCAAGTAATCTAAACTGAAATTCTTCCGTAGAGGCCCCCATTTTTAAACTTCTAAGCACCTTTGCTTGCCTCGAAAACCTCCAGCGACAACTAGAAAAAGCCAAAACGTGCATACAAGGACTTTCAAATCCTATTACATTACGCAATAATTTAGCTATAAGTAATTTTAATTAAAAAGTAAATATTTTATAATCTAGAATAATCCAACGGTAAAATATTTTTTTTAATTAAAATATATTTCTTTCTAGTATTATTATTCCATTTGCAGTTAACTTTCTTCTTACTTTCAGCAATAAAACCCGCAAGTTAGCCCAAACAGCAGCTCTATATATTAGTTTGAATGATTGTATCAATGCATGTAGATCATTTCATCTTTTCTGCATTCTCTAATGGCAATTTCCATTAGCTTGATCCCAGAAGAAGGTAGCACATCACAACAATGCCTTCTTGGAGCCTGCAACTATATTTTGAAAAAAAGGCAGGTGTTACTATAATTAGTCTCTCAAGTATCTCATCTTGTCTTTTAATCACTGAAATAGAAATACAGATAATTAAAATGTACCTGCTTGGTGTCAAGGTCTAGTTGTTGTGAGAAAACTCTGATCTCATCAAGTTTTCTCGGTGAACCCATGTCGTACGAGCAATTCTCGTAGTATTTCTTATAAATAGTTCGAATACCATTCTTACAGAAACTAACGCTATCCAAGAAGAAAATTGTAGGTCTCCGGCATGGATCAGGGTGATATTCTCTAGTGTTAAAAGTATACACCCCTGATATATTGTTACTCTTCAGTTTCAACTTCCTGAATGTTTCTTCTGCAGGGAGAAGATCGGGTAAGAATACATGTCTGCTGTGAACCTGGATGGCATAGCCCCATGTAACTGAGATCGTCCATGAAAACCAGCGATCATAGCAAACTGTCTGCTGTAGAATTCTCTCCGAATCGACATTAGCTGCTTTGAGCAGATGTTCCATTGCTTTTGACCTTGTCATGTTAGGGAAGATGGGGTCTATGTGGTCCATGAGATGCAAGGATACTAATGGGGTCAATGGATGAGATGCCAAGAGACCGAATGCATTGCCACTAACATCAAGCTGAAAAAATTCAATAAACCCAAAACGTCAAAAATGGAAAATCAGGAATGGGTAATCACTTTTAAGATAAATTGCATCAGGTACTCCTTGAGCTTTCAAGCATGGTTCAAATATGTCCTAATCTTATAACTGTCATAATTGAGTGTGGTAGCCCATCTGAAATTATAATTTGGTTCTCACTTCATTCGTTGTACTCTAACGAAATTAGAAAGCGAGATACAAAATAGTTTAAAAACAAAAGCGCTGCCAAAAATAAGGTATTGTTAAATTATGAATCTAGTTTAACAAAAATATAAACACCATATGATTTTAATTCTTATGATTAAATATTTTCATTTAATATATGACAAAAATTAAAATGAGTATTTAACTAAAAAGTTTCACTTAAGTTTGTTTATACCATAACTAAAAAGTCAAGGCACACGAATTTAAAGCTAGTAATTGAATAGGCTTAATTGTTTACAAATATCAATAACATATTTATTTTGCAATAAAATAATACAATACCACAAAAGTAATAAAAAGATAATTAAAAGAAAAATGTTAGGAATACTTATCGTGGGACTAAATGTCCTTGCAGTTCCTTTTTTAAAAAAATTTTCCTTAAAAAAGTGCGCCCTTCAATCCCCATAATTGAGGTGTTGACCGCAAGAACACGATCTCATGTTTAGTATCCATAGCATTTCTTTAATTAAAAGTCAACCTAATTAACAAATTTCTTAAAGTTATTAAGCTTCACTAAAAGGTATAATCAAGAAAAACTCGACTTTAAATCAACCTTGGATTGTGAAAAATTTTGCTCAACTTGGCTGGTTGAAATGCATTCCATGGAGAATAGGTAAAATTAGAATCCAATAAAAATAATTTTAAAAACCTGGGGACCTGATTGAAATACTCAAGAGGCTTGTGACTTGATTGAACAAATTTTAAAAAGGTGATGAACTACTCTAACAATTTTTTACCCTTTTAAAGTTTTAAGAAGCCAAAAAAATAAAATAAAATAAAATACAACTAATCGGAATTTATTTTATTAGAAAAAATAATAATTCAGTTGGTCTGGAACGTACCTGATGGAAACCAGGTTCTCGGGTCAACCCGACGCCGAGCTCCGCCAAACAATTGTAGATCCGGGACTCGCTTCCGTAGAGATGCGGATATCGTTCAATGCAAGAATCGAAAATATTGGCTAAAACTTCCGCCAGAGAAGCACTAATGGCAAAACCGGCGCCGCTGAAAGCCATCTCGAATCCAAACGCATGGTTCTGTTCATAAATTTCCGAATTAGCTCCGATATAGTACCAGAGCCGATGATCGTATTTCCTCAGTGTCTTCACCAGATTCTCCGGAAAGAACACCGTGTCATCTTCTCCGAACACATACCACCGCACGTTAGAGTGATTGAGTAAAACCGTCTCCTTAACCACCCGCGCAATCCTGATCGCCGACCTGTAACCCCACCGGTAAGTGTACCGGAACCGCGAAGTATCCTCCGAGACACACACTGGAGGAAGAGAAGAATCGCTAATGTTTCTCCGCGGAGGGCTTTCGAGGAACACGCATCCCCTCATGCGATTAGACTTCCACCAGAGCTCAACGTAATCTTTCCGACTCCGCCACGAATTAGAATCGGAAGAAATCCCAAACACGATGTGTTCCAGCCTAGTCGGCGCCTGCACTCCTTCTGAAATGGAAAACAGGTCGGCCGGCTTGGAGAATTCAACTAAAAATAGTGATACAAGAAGATAGATGACACATACTGAGGAGGAGATGAAGACCAAGTACAGTAATCGAGAAGAAGATGGGATTTTGTTGAGTTGCTGAGAATCCTGCATCTTGAGGAAGAAGGAGAAATGGGTTTGAATGAGGAATGGAGAACTATGTATTGGGTGGGAAAATGCGTATTATTGTTACTGTTTACCAGCATAATTAAAGGTATGGATTCGACAACTTTTTCAGGTATTTGGCCATGAAAGATGGGTGAGGTTTCCATTGTACCTTCGGGGATAAGAATTGCCCACATGGTTGCTTATAAAGCAGAGATTAAAGTCAAATTCCTTGTGCATAGAATGGAATTTGACCTAGAAGAGAGAAACAGAGTTGGGCTTGTTTGAATTTTTTGTGTTGGATTCAATGGTATAATTTGGATTCAATGAGAGATTTACATTTTCATGCTGTGTAATCCGTCAATATGAAAAAGAAATGGTATGATTTGGAGATATGGGTTAAGCATGAATGTTGAAACAAGACGTAATAAAGCAATGAAACCAAATTTGACGATCCTAATAAAGTGAAACAAAGAGCAGAATATGGAGGGTGAAACGGAGTACATAAAAGGTGAGTCATGTGACAAATTGCTTTGAGTGCTTGAGGTGAATGAAATTTGCCTTTAAAGGGAGCGTTAGGTGTGTTATCAATGACATTATGGTGGGTATTCATGTTAGTAACAAATGTGATCCCCATGATCGAAATTGTTTTAACCCTTATATTTTACTCTTTTTTCTTTTTTTAGCACTTACTGTAAAAATATTCTCAAATTATTTTTTACAAATTTATATTATCATGGTGCATTAAAAAAAATTAATTTTTTAATTTTAAAACTTGAACTTTGAATACATTTTACTAAATAACTTTTGATTATTAATGAATTAAACCTTTAAAGTTATTTTAGGTTTTTGTTTAAGACAATACATAAGAAAAGAAACATAACTAAAGTTAAAATAACCTTCTCCATAAATTGAGAAATTAGTATGAGTAAGGTGCATAATATGTATTGAACAAAGTAAAGCAATGACGCAGAAACAACTTCAGCTGAAAGTGGGAAATATTTTGTAAAGATCCAAAGGATGCTGCGAGAGGATGAAATTGGGATGGAAGGAACTACATGAATAGAACTTGGTTTTATTCTCTCCTAGGTGATAACTGTCTAGACTAAGGTTGTAAATATCATAATAGCATATGTATCGATTTTGCTTACATATCCTGTGTTGGACAGTATCCCATAACGTTTTAGATTTACTGCAAGAATATATATTTTTATTTAAATTAATATGTAAACATGTGTATAAAATAAATTAATCAAAATTTAAATAGATGATGTATAATTATGAGATTATTTCGTCTTTTACATTTAATATTTGTTATATTCTTAATTATTTAACAATTTTGGGCTTTTTTTTTTTTTAATAACATGACATTCTCTCTACAAATAGTAAAGTGGGATTGATTAACTTTTTCTTTGTAGCAAACTTGATATCAAGAAAAGAAAATGTCATGTTATCATCATAAACAAAAGACCTTAAAATTGTCAAATCAACGAGTGGTTAAAGCATATTAAAGGGAAGAGATGAAATGATAATACATAATTATTTCATATGTTAAATTTTGATTAATTTATTTTAATTAAAATGTAAAAATGTTAATTTCATTTAACTTAAAAATACGAGGAGAAATTTATTTCGAAAAAAAAAAGGCAAATATATCCTTTTCCCCAACAAATTAATCCAAATTTTATCATGGCGCGCTTCCATCAAATTTTGTTAGCATCTTCTAATTATTGATTATCGACTAGCTCTGGTTCTTAATCTATTTCCAATTCTCGCATATCCTCGCCGTTGCTTGAAGTTTTGCTTTAGAAGTTTAAGTACTAACTGTAAAAAGGCAAACAGAATGTGAACGAAAATGAAAGGAAAATTCTACTAATGGCTTCTAAGCTTTGTAACAGCTTGGATCTCTCTCTGATTCATTCATTTTCTGATTTGATGCAAAGTGTTGGTTGACAGATATATCTTCAACCAAATACATCAAGATTACATAAAAAAATTAGAGTGGTTCACTGTTCTCCTAACACAGCACTGAGATTGCTATGTTTTATTTTCATAAAAAACAAACTGACAAGTACACTTACTCCATTACATGTAAACTTAAAATTAGAAAAGAGTTAACAAGGATCAAGGAAAAAACTCAGGTTCTTCAACACTCCTCGAGGTTTTTTCTTGATACTCAGGCAAATCTTTGAGCATTTTAAATCTTGTTGTTGGAAGGGCCTTTGTAAAAATGTACATCAACTGCAAATCAGAACTACAATGCTACAATTTAACTTCCTGGTTGATATGTTGCCTAATCACATGATACTTAACATGAATGTGCTTTGTTTTGTCATGCTGAACAGAGTTCTCTGCAATTGCAATTGTTGACATATTATCAACATTAATCAAACATGCAATTGTTTGAACCTCTCCCATATCAGTTAGCAATTTTTTGATCCAGATAGCTTGTTTTGTTGTTTCTACTTCTGAAATGTAGTCGGCTCCTACTGTTGATTAAGCAACAGCTCCCTGGTTCTGTAATTTTCATGAAAACAATCTTGAACCAAGAAAGAATGCATGACCTGTTGTGCTTTTAGCGTCATCCATACTCCCTGCCTAGTCACTATCTGAATACCAAACCAAACTGCCTTCTAGAAACTTTTTTAGCCAAATACCATAGTTTGCTGTCCCTTTAACATATATATCTTAATACCCTATTAGCTGCTAACAATATCTTATATCAAAGCAAGTCTCAAGAAATGTTTGATCATCTTTAAGTAAGCATCTCATTGGATGGTGAAGCCCTCTTAATATTAAATAATTCTCTTAATCTAATCAGTAGTATTTTATAGTACTCAAATATAATTTAATTTAAATTACAAAACATTTATTTTTTGTTTATAAAAATTATTTCTAATTAATTAATAAATTAATCATGTTTCTGCAGGTCTGTATTTGGGGAACCGGGTGGTAAGGATTCAGTGTTGAATATAAACCCGTCAATTATAAAAGTCAGTCTGAACCTCATTTCAGAGATTACAGAGCAATTCATGAAAATGATGGAGACTCACAATAATTGTTCCCCCAACTCCAAGAGAGACCATATGATACCTGATAGTGACCATGCTTCCGTAATAATTGGAATAAGAATCTCGGTGTCTTGGGCTCTTTGTTATTAGTATTATTATTATTATTTTTGATCAGCAAAGTAAATATATTATTAATAGAGTACAGGGGTACTCTAAACCCATAACATTACTAATACATAAAGTTTCATTCATAGCAAAAGGTCCCAGAAATATGACCAAGGCCTACAACAACAGAAAGTAATTAATCACAGGTTTTTCAAAGCATTTACCTGCCTTTAGGGGTATGGATCCATCATACTTCGACCGGCGTCAAACCTTCTTCCATGGTATCCATTGTGTGCTAAATAATCTCAAACTCGTTGCTGCACTCTAATGTAGCCTTCTTTTGGTTTTGAACGCCATTGTCTTGCACAAGGTCTGAGCATAATGCTGTTTTGCACCAGTAAAACGATCTGAACTTTATTAGCTCAACAACCTGCTCCCTATTATTGGCTCCAACTTTAAATATTTTCTGGTTTCGCCAAAGCCAAATAGACCACATAGTTGCAAACCACACAACTGTCCACATTTCCTTTACAAGACCTGTGGATATCATGCCAATGTGTTGCTCAAGATGTGGCCATCCTTTACCGTAAGCAGCTACTTTGAGATCCCACCAATCATAACATGATGCCCAAATGCTCCATGATACGTTGCATTTGAAGAAAAGATGTTCCTCGCTTTCTGCTTCCAGATCACACAGCACACATTTGTCATTGCTATGACCATTCATTCCCCGCTTCATTAAGTTGTCCTTTGTTGGGATTCTAGCTGCAATAATTTCCACGCAAATGCAATCACTTTGAGAGGTGCATTTTTATTCCATACCAGATCATATTTTTGGCCAGAACTTGTAGTATGTTGTTGGTTTAAGTATTTGTATGCTGTCTGCACTGAGTACTTGCCCTCTCGGTTGTGTTTCCATGACCATGTGTCCTGCTGTCCTTTTTTCAATGAGATTCCTTGCAGTTCGTTGATTAATTCCTGCAAAAGTTCATTTTCCCAAACAAAAAGGTTTCGCCTCCACCTCCATTCCCATTCCCACTTCCCTTGATTCCAGCTACCCATATCTGCAATGACAGCTTCTTGATCTAAAGAAATTCTAAATAACCTATTGTATTTCTCCTTAAGTGGAATCTCCTCAGCCCAAATGTTGTGCCAAAACAGAGTATCACTT